GGAACTTAAACGGCACGGTTTATCACTGAGGAAGGCAAGAAGACTTGCCAGAGTTCACAAACAAATTACAGAAGAAATGCCATTTTCTCTTCATAAAGTATGTTCTAGTTTAAACAGGAGTTAGTTCAGGAAGCACTAACAGCCCGCTCTGTGCAGGCTGCGCCTGACTGCCAGCCATCCCCCAGCTATCCAGGTTGTCACGCCATGGACGTTTCTGAAGTTCGCACTACAGGTGACCAGTTACAGTTCAATTCTGTCAACATTTTCTGGTATAATTCCGATATGCTCCAGAAAGAAAACAAGTGGAAGGTGACAAACATGTCTGCAACTTCAAAAGGAAAACAATTTCCAAGCGAAATGGTAACTTGTTAGTTGGCCGAGTTCCTAAAGGCTGTTTACTGAGCCTGTCACTTCCTTACACTGTTAAAAAAAGGTTTCCTTTATTACAGCTGACATTTGAACAAGTTCAGCAAATTAATATCCAGAGTAGGATAATTAGCTGAAAGGGACCTAACTCATGGGTAAAGCTTAAAGAAAATAAAGCAAGCTTCTCTTCAGTAATGCTCTGTTAACAGCTAATCCAGATAATACTATTAAAAAGAAAAATGTCAAGATTTCGCTATCACTTCCCAATTTTAACAAGCAAGCAAATTACTGTTTCTTGCAAAGTGTGAAAAATGAATGAAAAAATCTTGTACTATCTGATTTCAATACAGTTCTGGCTAGTATATGAGAAGTGACATGTCCTTTGTTCTAAGGCCATAATGACTGCAACAATTTATTTCACAAAAAGTGAAGTGAAAGCTTCCATACATATGCATAAAACAGCGTTATGAGATCTCACAAGGATAGATGATGCACCCAAAGTGAGGTAAAAAACAAACAAACAAACAAAAAACATAAACCATTTGAGTGCAGTGTCTGCTTGGCACACCATGTATTATGCTTTACATCTACACCTGTAATTTTATTTTTATTGCTACCTGCAGTAGTTACGTGTGTAGTTGTGTGAGTACTTCCATATGATTCAGACACACAGCCCTCAAATCAGTGGAAACCACCAATAATAAAACTAAGTCCATTAAAAATATTCTAAAAACCAGTACAGGCCATGAATTTCACTATATTAATACTTCCTCAACTACATTAATGATGTTGAAACCTACACCACTTCTTAGGTGCATCTAAAAAGGTTTACTGAAACATGAGTGAGTAACCCTCTGCTCAGACAGCTGGAGACTGTTACTTAGCCATCAAATCCTACCCATTGAAGATGCGGGAATTCTCTGATACTGAGAAACACCACACAAGCAGCGTGCTGTATGACAGGTGCCTTGGTAAAACAAAGCATTTGCATGGCTGGGCAAGTTTTGGAATCGGATCAGTCTGAAAGTATTACTTCAAATACCAAAAAGCCACTTGCAATATTTAGACAGCTTGGAGATGACACTTACCCACCTAGACGAGCAGAGACAAAACAGCACTGCCACTTTCATCAACCAGTATAGTAAATAAATACTGTTAATTTAGAAAGAGACCGGTTTCGGATAGGATGGGCTAATTTTGACTGCTGCGTTAATAACAGATACTGTTGAAGAACAACGCAAAACAATTTCACTTCCTTCTTTTTTTTTCCCCCCCCCTCTCTCAATCAGATCCCGCTACTCCTAGAGCAAGACACACGCCACAGCCCTGGAGAGCTGCCCCGGCCCTCACGGCCTCCCCGGCACGCAGCTCCCTGTGCGGAGCAGCCCTCAGCCCTCAGCCCCCCGCCAGCCGTGCCCGTCGCAGCCCTCGGAGCCCCCGCATCCACTCAGCGGGCAGGCGGCGGGGCTCGGGGCGGGCAGCCGGGACGCCGGGCCCAGCAGCGCTCAGGCCTTCCCTCCGCACAGCCCGGCAGCCGCAGGGCAGGGGCACGGGACGGCACCAGCCCGGCCTCGAGCCGCTTTCCGTGCCCGCAGCCACGCCGGGCGAGGCGAGAGGCGGAAATCCAGCAGAAAACAACTTCGGAGCCGGCGCTGCCCCTCCGAGCCCTGCGCGCGGCCGGGCGGCGGCGAGGCCCGAGCGCGGCGCGACACGGCGGTAGCCCCCTCCTCCCCTCCCGGCGGCGAGGGGCAGGCCCGGGGAGGGGACTCGCTCCGCAGACCCCGAAACTCAGCCCTCCTTCTCTCCCTCGGTGCCCGAGCGGAGCTACGGCCGCCGACCCCTCCGCGGGGCCCGCTCGGCGCAGGGGGCGCCCCGGAGCCGCCCCGCCGCCCCCCGTGCTGTGCCGTGCCGGGGGCCTCTCACCTTGGTGGCCATGGCGCTGCCGCTGCGGGCTCGGCTGCCGCTCTGCCCTCCCCGCCGCGGCCCGCGGCTGCTCGCTCGCCGCGTCCGGCCCGCCCGCCGCCGCTGGGCCGCGCAGGCGGCTCCACCTCACCTCCCCCGGTCGCCGCCGCCGCCTGGGGGCCGCTGGGCGGCTCAGCAGCCGGCCCGGCGCTGGGCGGGCGGCGGCTGGTGTGGCGGCGAAGCCGTGCCCTCTCCCCGCAGCCCCTGCACTCCTGCGCGGCACGCGGGGGCAGTGGCGGGACCGCTTTGCCTCCCCTTTCGCCGAGAGGGCTGGGGGGGAGGGAGAGCTACGGGGGGGGGGAGCCGCCCTGGACAGACCCCGAGGGCGAGCGGGTCCCCTGTGCCCCGGGCCTGCAGCGCCTTTACGTTTCGATTGGGTTTTGCCTGTAATTCCTTTTCCCGGTGCCGGGCGGCTGCGGGGCTGTGGAGTGCCCCGCGGTATCGACGACGCGGGCAGCACTGCTCCAGCCATCAGAGGCCATTGAAAAGCTTGCAGAACTCTTTCATTATCTGTTTGGAGTCGTTATCCCTCGGTTTCCTCTGCACAAAGATTCTAAACAGCAAAAAGAGGAATTTCCACTCTGCCGGGCTCACTCTGCAGCTTTCACCGAGACAGAACATGTCTCTGGTGGCACTGCTACTGCCGGGCCTTGGTGCGTAGCAGCAGGGATATGGCCCCAAGAATCCAGCCAGGGTCTGTGCCATTGCTGTCACTCCGCCAATATCTCACAAACAATAACTCAGTTACCAGCTTTGGGGAAGGTGTAATGGTAAACCAAAACAAAGAGCAAGGAGGAAATCAGGTGGCAAAAGTTATACAAGGTTCATGGACCACCTCTGCCAAGTGTACCTGGTGTCTTACCAGGACTAATCTCCCGAAGAGGTGTGATTGCTAGGTTTGCCAAGGAGATTTCTAAAAGGGAGGTTGTGATCCTGCTCAGCTTCTTATGTCCATATTTCCCTACCTGTAGAAATTACAAACCTCTCCTCTGCTAGTGGTATGCTTTCTCAGGGAGGGAGCTCTATTAAAAGAGAAAAATACATCCTTGTTTTTTTAAGTAGGAAAAAGAAATTCCATTTAAATAGAACAAGTGAAATAGTTACTATGGAGAGTGTGGGTGAGGAACTGAGAGGAACCTGGAGCAGTCACCACTATTTTTCAGATGGTTCAGATGATTAATTAGAGAAGTTTTCAAATGTCATTACCTCAGGTTTTAACTTCTCCATAATTCACTGAACGTGTACAGTGATTCCAAGTTTTTATTCCTCACAACAGCAGTGCATGCAACCCACAGCATGCTTTTGCAACACTGCCTTTAATTTGAGGCCCAGTTTTGCTGCTGCATGGTTGCTCCCAGCTTGGTATTTCATCTATTTCAGTCGCCCTTCATGAGCAAACCTCTCTGAAGCCCTGCTTCCTTTTTATGCTTAGGGTCCCTGGTCCTTAACTTTCTTGAAAATAATATTTTCAGTGCAGCACACTGAAATTTGGTCTTAGAGGTGACCTAGTGAGGATTTTTGCAGACTTTGGTACAAGGAGTGGGGAGATAGTCTCCACTCCAACCCCATACTGTGCAGAGAACAACCCAGCCGAAGTCTGGCTGAGCGGTGGGAAGAAGGCTGGGAGAAGGGGCTTCCAAGCCAGGGTAGAAACAAGCCCACTTGCTTCCTGGATGAAACTGGGACTTACCCATTTAAGTTAGATATTAGGTAGAAATTCTTTACTGTGAGGGTGGTGAGGTTGTGGATACCCTCTCCCTGGAAGCATTCAAGGCCTGGCTGGATGGGGCTCTGAGCAAACTGGTCTAGAAGGACCTACCTATAGCAGGGGGGTTGGAACTAGATGATCTTAAAGGTCCCTTCCAACCCAAACCATTCTAAGATTCTATAGAAATATTTTGTCTCTGGTAATTTTAGAGCCAGAAAATGGAAACTTTTAGATGACAGAGCAAAACATATTAATGTTTGTTTGTATGAACTCCTTCTTCACATAATAAGCTGTTGGGATAGAGATTCTATGCAGAAGCGCCATCTAAGTTTGCTACAGTTTAAAGGTGGCATAGTTGTGTCCACAGTGCTAGCAAGGAAAAAGGGCCTGGATTGATTGCTGATTGGAGTAAGCCCACCTGTTTGGGATTAGATTAGCTCCCAGAACAGCAGATTTTTCTGGTCAGCAGACTGTTGGAGTGGTTTAAAAGTGAATTAGCCAGGTAGCTAATGGTTAAGCAATGTGCAGGTATAGGTATTCCCTGCTCAAGGAAACTCCTTGGCCCTGCTGATGGACTAGACCTGATATAGACAGGGGCTAAACTGTGGCCACATTTTGTAGGACCAATGCATAGTTAAGGAAACCTTGGATTTTAGAAAAATGACGGAGGTCTGAAATCAAGAGACCCACCATTGCCTTATTTAGAGCCAGCCAACAGGTAGGTATGTGAAGCACCCTTTCTCCATTTACCTGATGTTGTTTTTCTCTATGATCTATAATAAACCTGGGGCTTTCACATCACTTGGATCCTGTTATTCTTTACCTGTGGTCAGGACAACTGCCAGAAGAGCTTCATTTACAGCTGCTAACCGGCGTGCTTTAACAAATACTGCTTGGCCACCTGGGGTACTCCAGGAACAAAGCCACAATTTATTCAGCCTCTCTATATGCCTAAAATCTCCAGTTTATAGTTTTCCACTGTGAACTACTCATAAAAATAATTCTTGCTTGACAAGTTTTAGGGATGAAGGAAATGCTAACATTTCTTTCCAGGTGAAAGAATGTTCTGGAACTATTATTTTGATGTGTTCTTTCCAGTATTGTTCACAATTAATTGCCGTTGATTCTTGCATTAACAAAGACATTCTTAGGAATCACTTTGGATTACAAATAAATGCATCTCTTCCTACTGCAAGCTTTATTGTTGCTTAACACAAGGGGTCAAATAACAATGAATAGCCAGTAGTAGTCACCTAGTATTTCCAATTTTCCAAATTTGTTAATTTTCTGCTACCAAGCTGAGTCCTAATTAATTAAGACTGGATGTTTGCTTAGCTCTAGACATACAAGAAGTCTTAGTGGCATTTCTGTAGGCTGGAAACAGAGGGCTCCGCATGGAGCTTATCAGCTTTGAAACACAATTGGCTCGTTATTCACTTTGTAACAAAGCCCCAGCAAAGGCTTTAATAGTTAAATATCTCGACCTCAGAAAAACAAAAAGAATCAACAACAAAATAAAATCTTTTACTGAGCGCATAAGTTACTTTTTTTTCAAATATGTTCTCTATAGATTACAACTATGTATGTTTGTTGTTAACCTGTCTGCATCATTTTCCAAGAACAATTGCTGCTACAGAGTTCGTTGAGATCTGTTGTAGACCATAATCAAGTGAAAAGCTCCCACCAAGTGCTATGCAAGTTTTAAAATTAAAGATGAACTCTGGGAAAGGATATTTGCCAAAAATTGTTCTCTGCTGGGCAAGGCCTGCCTGTAGTTTCACCATCAACTGAAAGTCAGTCCTTGTCATACAAGGCTGTGCTGACTTCAGCAAGCCTGGAGGGGAACGATAAAAAAAAACAACAGAACAGTGTTATTTAGATAACCTTCATGCAGAAAACCATCCAGGGGAAGAACTATGACTTGCATGTCTCTAAGCTGCTGTCCTCAGGCACATGCCTTGAGTTGGAGCACCTTGGATTTCTCCCTGCTAGCAGGTTCTGCTCTTAGCACTACTCAGATAATGCATGGGAATTTACCAATTCTTCAGTATCACCCATCTTTCCTGGGTCATCCCTGTGCATTGATGAGTTAGCAATAAAGGCTATTCTTACTGAATTTTTCAGTATTCATTTCATTGAACAATTTAATTACCTTTCATCAACTTTGCAAATGGAACAGCAGAATGTCAAACACATAAGTGTCAAAATCTCAGTAAGAGACGTACTGGGAGCATGTTGTCCCAGGCCTTCATTTTCAGAAGTGTTTTATGAAGTGAGCAGTGATTTTTCTTCCTTCCTCGTTGAGAGGCTATCGATGAGATGTGAACAAGGTTAGCTCCATGTTCTGTGCTGTTAGCTACAGAATGAAAACCAATTATAACTACTAATTGATCATGAAAACCTAACAATGACAAGGGGTTAATTAATTACAAAGAAATTTCATACTTCTTCTGCTCCTTTTTTAATCATCATGTGTAACTTCATCACCTGATATGCTTCATGTTTAAATAAAAATGGGCACAGTTTTCCATTTTCTGAAGCCTTCAAATGAAGTGTTTAATGGCTTAACTTGGAGATAAAAAATGACAGTAGGGTATTCTTTATCTTCAGAAGCCATGCATGCATGTTTTCACGTAACTCCCCAACAGGTTCTTCAGGCATTGTGTTTCTTCCCAGCTGACCAGAGTTTCTTTAAACAGGAGTTAACACAATTTCTTGTTTGCCAGATAGCAATATGAATTAAATATTGCTTTGTCCTATTTCCTCTGTCCTTCCCTCTCCAAAATTGGACAGAAAATAATAGAAGTAGCCTTATACATGAAACCTAAGGTTAGCTGCACAGAGAGCGCAGGCAACAGGAGAGCAGCTGGAAACAGTATGCATACCTCTGTACAATGTGCCATCATCTGCAAATTTCATATGAAAAAAATACCTATTGAAACATTCCAAGGAAAGATGTTATTATTTTCCTTTATATTATGGTCTGAGTCTTTGAGCATAAAGGTCCCAAACTCATTTAGTTGGAACTCTCTGTGGCAGATCCTTTTAAACAGTACTCTGCACCTGGGGCTGGAAGGTCACTATGAAACTAGCCTATCTTGAAATACGGTAGAATGTTAGGGTAAGACTTCCCCAGCTTGAAAAGCTGCTATAGAAAAATGTACCCAGAATTGCACCAAAATTCCTTTCAGTTTTTCATTCTCAGAAATCGTCCCTGAATAAGCAGTTCTGAGAAAACCTGTACTTTGTACATTTGCTTTGGACTTCAGGGTTTTGTATCCTTAGAGCTGGCAATGAAACACTGCCATTATCTGAACCCTGACATACTATGTTGTTATTTTTCTAATAAGTCCTGATTTGACATCATGATATTTTTAATAAATACACAGCTAAAACTGGCTTTGTGTTGCGTATGAATGCATTGTTTTCTTTACACTGGGGGAAAGTGCTGTGCTAAGCTAAAATTCTGTGCTCTGAGGGATGTGGGGTTTTTTAACACATTTTTGTAAAAGTCAACAGTTTTAAATCATGCTGGTGCTGGACTTCCTGGATTCAATTTTCTTTTTCAAAAACCCATGAAAACAATCGGTGACTGCTAAAGAGGTAAAGAAGGATACCCTGAAAAAAAGAAAAAAAAAAAAAAAAGAAAGAAATTAAAAGGATGGGAAACAAAATGGTTTTGCAATATGCTGTTGGACACGGAGAGCTGTTTTTGTTTTATTTTTTTTAAAGCTGGTTACATAGAATAGGCTTTGAAATACATGATATTTAAAAACCCAGGCTTTTTTGTTTAAGGAATGGAACAGATAACGTGAACCACCTGACACAAGTATCATTCTGAATTTTTATGTTCCTTTGAGGCCTGTCCACTGATTGTTAGCATACCATGTATATATATACTGCTGTACGTGCATTTCGTACACTTCTATTGGCCTGCATTTGGATTTTTCTTAATATTTTGTATTCATTTGGGTCTCAGTGCAATGACTGCTATGCTCAATAGGTTTTGAACTCTTCTTTTTTGAAAACCTGAATATGCTTTAGTTGAGATATTCAAGAAGTACAAGTACACTATTTCCAAATATGCTGTTTTCTGACTTCAGCAAAAATGAGGCACCATCAGCACTATTGATTCTCACCACTGCTGGCTCTGTCTGTCAGGAGTGCTGAATGCCTGTGGCTTATTTCCATTTTCTCCTGCTGTGATGCAAGAGTTCTGGAGAATGATGGAGTTGCTCTTTGTTCTCCAGCTGACTGTGCACATACACGAGATCCTTTAAAAAGCTGAGGATAAAACCCAAATTTCCTTCTGATTGCTAGTTGTCTTGAAGATACAGATAGAGAAGAAAGCTGCAGAGGGTTATAGGGCTAACATTAGGGATTTGAGCCCTCTTCTTCTGGGATTTGAGCTATCACGGTGGGAGCAGTGGCACCCATGATTGTGTGGCACACTGGCTGGCTATGTTCCCATGCACAGCACATGCAGTACTGTGGCATTTTTATGGTAAGATGACCAAAAGATTGAACCAGGCCCTATTGTCCATTACCCCTTAAATCGCTCCGTGACTGCTATTTCCTTTAGAAATACTAGACAATTAAAGTGCTCCATAGAAAGAAATTCTAGAGCAATCTACCTCCCAGGATTCACATGCACATTAAATGCACATAGGCCAAGAACAAAGCAAATGCAAAGTAACAATTTCTAGGAGCTATTGTTCATCTGTGCTTTCTTTAGCAGGGAAAAATGTCTAGAATCTGTGACTATTTGTCTCTCTAGAGAAAGAGTTGTGAAGCCTCTTTCCAGTCCATGTAAGTTTCTTTCTCATGTCAACCCATGTTAGTTCTCCAATTCATAATCTAGCCCAGACAAACTCAAAAAGGAATAAAGAAAAAAGTAGTAGCTTTCGAGAATTTCATTATTGTGTAACTAGATGTACTCCTTTTATATAGTTTTTCCTATCTTGAAAAATGAACTTGGAATCCTGAGGTTCCTTTTTACCATACTTTGTATCTTAAAGTCATAGCCAATAAAAGCCATGCTACCCTAGTAAGGAGATAATACTGTACAACAGAAGAAAAAAGCAAAGCCTCTGGCAAGATGATCGTCTACAAAGCAGGCTTTGTAGTCTGCATACCTTGCATTGCTACTGAGGAATTATGCGACTGTGGGCTGGTCAGAAAATTTTAAGTATCTGAGAAATTGTTTATAAGTACTGACTCAAATCTAGATTTAAAAAAAAATAAAAAGCATTTCACTTTGGACAATTCATTAGGAGGAGTGCTGAGCTTATATTTAACAGTTCCAAGACTCCTTACAGGAGTTGTAAAATCCTTTTGACAATCCGCTATTACTACCAAGTCTACGCAAGCATTTCATTCATTACCAGAGCTAAAAAAAAAAAGATACCTTTGGGATGTAAGCATTTCATATCTTCGTTCACACTAGCTGATAGTTCTCTTCATTGAATTACCAAAAGCAGCCTTAGGGGTGGTTTTATTTCTCCTGTAAGGGCAGCTGTCCAAAAATCTGCAAAAATTTCCAGGAAATCTGACTTCTGCACAGAGGTTAAAGAAAGCAGACAGAGAAAAATTCTGCAGCTTCCTTTCCAAAGTGCAGATTTTCTGAATCTGGGGGACAAGTAGTAAAATCTAAAACTTAATTCAGTAGGGAGCAAGAAATGCATTCTGTGAATTGAGACTTCCCCTTTAAGTTTACAGAATAGCCTAGTTCAAAGTTTTCCAACTTGAGAGAGATGTAACAGATACAGCACTCAGTCATGTGTCTTGTTTGTGGTTAGCCACACAAAGCCTTTTTTTTTATTATTCTGAGCTCTACTCCTTTTTGTTGTTTGGAAAAAGGAAGACTGAACACAGCTGGTCTTGACACAAGCAATAGTCAGTGAAGATATAAAAAAGCCCTATCTCATCCAACTAGCAGATGAACTTTAATTACCTCACAGCAATGTGATTACCTGTGAGATGTCCCTTTTTTTCCACCACATGACATCATTTGGTTTGTCTGCAGTGAAGGGTTTATCCTGAAGGGGCTCTTCATAGTGAGCTTGCTGCCTTTTGCCAATCATTGCTACATCAGTCCAAGATTTAAAATACTGCTGCTATAGACAACGATGTAGAAGAATTAAATTGAAAGGATACTCTTTTAAAGTTATCATAACAAATGAAATAGGAAATGGGACTGGAATCTGACATTCAAAAGAACAAAAAACACACAAAAAAACTAAGCCTTGATCACAGTGCAGTGAAGCAGAAAACCTGCTAATATTTACCCCTTTTCCCCCCACAGTTTGAACAGATACTTGTGAGCAGTACAACTGCAAGCTCTCTGCCTGGCTGTCCCCCTTTCAAAACTAAAAATATCACTTCTTTTTGCCCTTATCAAGGTATGTTGGGGACTTCAGGCTGAAGAAATGTATTTGCTCATTTCATTTCCAGATAGCAGGAGTTTTCCCCATAATATTGCTTTAATTGTTGAATTGGTTGCATGTTGCTGTGCATGCCAGTCAAGCCCTTGTTACGAACACTGCCCCGTGTTGGTGCTCCAGCTGCAACACTGACCAAAATCAAGGCTCTCCCTCATGCTAGTGTTTCTGGATTTCCAGTCTGTTGAGCTGCTTTATCCAGGATGTGGAAGCCCACCCATGGCCTCACCTTCAGGCCACCTCTGCCAGTGCTGACCCTGTGCCTGCAGTCCCCAGTGATCCCTGCTGAACAGCGGCTCTGACCTAGCTGGCAGCAACCGTTTGGGGCTTTTTTCAGGCTGCAGCTGCTTTGAAGCATCCTTGTGCAAAAGCAGCTGTAATGGCAGGCTTATCCTCAAGGTCAGATGATTTATAGGATTGAACTCTCCAGACTCTCAGTCACGTGATCTGGGAGAGGATGATGAACAGGCAGAGAGGAACTTCAGCTGAAGGGCTGTTCCTCCGGGATCCAAAGCTGTTCCCTGCGTGTGATAGGAAGACGTGCTTCCTTCATTCAGAGGCCCGCTCCCTTAGCTTCCCTGGCAGCAGGCCTTCTTCAGGTATCTTCAATAACCAGCAGATTTAGTTTCAAAAATAACTGACCTTGCATATTTGCTGTCCTTACGAGTTGGCTTCTGCAACGTGAACACCAATAGGCAGTTCAGGGTAAGCTAAGAGCATCTATTATTTTCCCTCCCTTCTTAGCACAAGCTAGGTTTTGCAGTATCAGAGTAAGCTGATTGTTCTGTTCACTGGGAAAGCTGAACTAGCAGATTCTGCTGTGGGCTTTCAGTGAGCCATGCAAGTGAGGAGGGGAGATGCAGTTGTGTTTTAAAGCAGCAGTAGATTAATGGCTGTGTGATGACACTGTGCTGACACAGAGATGGCCTGAGCCAGGGCAGTGCCGGGGCCTGGCAGCATTCTACTGCTGCTGCACTTTGCTCCCTCAGGCTTGTCCTCAGCTGGCTGTGGCAGCAGTGCATTGGGAAGTGCCCTGATGTATTAGGGGCTGAAGGTCATCTAAAAATAAAAGTAGAAAGTGATGTGTCTTTTCTGCACGTTGATTCCAGCTTTGTGTTCCTGTACCACAATTTGGACACTCTTAATACAAATCTTCCATAGAAAGTTTCTTAACTAAGAAATGATGTGTGCTCATATCCTAATTGGTTTCCTGTTCAGCTAACTGCAATCTACCTACCAGAAGTTCCTCTAGATAATGCTAATTAATAAAGACTTTTTCCTTATTTTCCTCTTTGCTATTTGTATTTGGGAAGCCGTACTGCTTGTTTGTCATCACTTCCTTTCTTTCACCAGGCAGATGGCTGTTCTTTGCAGTTGTACAAAACTAATTCTTCTCAAAGGAGAGCAATCTTTGAGTTCTTCAAATGTAGAAATTCAGATTTTTTTTTTTCATTGATTTTGTATATACTGGCTCTGAATTTCAGCAGATATTCACTTTGTTTTGGGGATTCTGATATAGGGAGCTTCTATTTCACCACATACATCGGCTACCCATTCACCCAACACCTCATCTGTTGAAGAAAACATTCCTTGCTTTTATATGTCAGTCCTTGATTGCTCAATTGCTGTTCTCTGTACTGCTCCCAGCTTTCTAAGGTACTGCCTGGAACAATGTAAGTGTAGTCAATAGGCAGATAAAGCCATCCTTGAGTTATCTAGAGTTATAACAGTCACTGCTTACTCACCATTGTATTCCTCATGTATTCCATCTTCTTGTATCTTAAATTCATCTTCTCTATCTCTGGCTACTTGGGCCAGTTCTTGTTTGGCTGAAGTCTGAGTCAGGGCAAAATCTTAGCAGAAAAGAAGGAGCCAGATTTCCTATAGTGCAGTAGAGAGGAAATAAGTAAGATTTGTGTAGCCTGTAATTTGTAGCTTCAGAGGACTAAAGTGCGTGTTTATTCTACTGTTCTGCTAGGGCAATTAAATTGGAAATTGGTGTATATAAACATGCAGTAACCCCTTGGACTGGGTGGAGAAGTTGGATTCAGCGCGTGAAAGACTTCAGACCTACAGTCCAACTGATACAGACAGCAAGAAGGAAGCATGGAAATGATTTTGGGTTTCTCAAGACTAAGTCTTAAGACTAAGACTTGGGATGGTGTAAGTCCTATGTTTGGCACACTGCTTTGGGTACCTGCATTGAAGGCTGAATGATCTGCAGTCATTCTGAACGTGCAGTGTGAGGCCCAAATCACTCAGATGTGACTGCAGTTATGTAGGCTTTAGGATTTTGACAATGGGACCCTGAGTTTTTAAATGAAAGAACTGTTGGTTTTTGGTGTTTTGTGTTTTTTTGTTTTTTTTTTTTGAATGAACAATATCTTAATTTCTTTTACATCTGCTTTCTGTGAAATGTACACACTCAGATTCTCTAATTAAAAAAAAAGTCAGCATCTTATAACTTACTGAAGAGGAAACATTCTCTTCTGAGGAAAATTCCTATCCTCTTGTCTTCAATTATTCAGAGCTTTTGCAAATATCTAGTTCATAGGAATTTTGGAAATCATTCTCTCTGTTCTGTTGGAAGGTCTGGAATTTCACTGTTTTTTTTTCCTGCTTTCACCTCCTTCCTATTTTGAACAGGTGAGCTACAAAATGACATAAGCTAAAAAGATTTTTTAAAAAAAATCATCAAAAGAACTGGTTGCTATGCTTCCATACTAATTCCAAATTGCTGTTTGAATTGCTTAACAAACTGAATGTTTGTTTATATTGCATATCCATGGAATGCAGTTCCATAGATAACAGTATACTTGCCAAAGCCTATCAAAAAGGCTAGAAAATTATTTTGTAAAATGTTCTCCTTTGCAGTAATTTCCAAGGAATGCTTTTCTAAAAAGACAGGAATACATTTGTGTTAAATCACAAAGGAATGCTAATAATCACCACATTTTGATTTCAAAGCTTGGATAAACTAACACATGAAATTCCTTAAAATAGCCTTTCAGTCTTTTTTTTTTTTTTTTGTGAACCAAGCGTTGAGACTTGCATAATTGAGCAGAGAAGAGCTGAAAAGCTGATGCATAATTTGTTTTAACTAAGATGGGTTTCTTAAATGTGTAGAGCTGGTTGTTAGAAGATTTTTTTCTTTTGGGGGAAGCTTAAAACTAAGTACTGACACTAAACTCCACTAAACAAACAGTAATATCTCTGATGTTGACATGGAAATTTGATAAGAAAACTTCTCTGCTTGTAAGATTTTGGGGACTTCTTGGCTTCAAATCCATTATAAGCCAAGAGGTCACATCTTAGGTTAAATCTTTGAATGTGGGAGAACTGCTTCTGGATTTACATTTGCAGAAGCTGTTTTACTGACAGAAACAGAGATGAAAACTTAATATACATTTACTTTGCCATAGGGGAGAGGACTACAATGGAGCAAGAAAGGAAAACACAGCATGTTGTCTACAAAAATAAACAAGGAAATAATATTGACTAGAAAAATGAAAAGGATGTTGTATTTCAGTAACAAGCAGGCAATGTGTATTTTGGGTAACAAGAGGATACGTTGCAGCCTAATGGGAAAGGAAGAAAATATTGATTCTTTGCTATAAAATTTGGTATTTTTGTCTTCATTAAACAATGTGCTTTTAGTCCCGTAGTGTAGTGTTTCCTTTTACATATATTCCAAAGCAGGACAGGATGAGAGATGAGACTGCAGAAAATAGGGAGAAAAGCTGCGTAACGTCAATTATAAACTGAAGGAAAAGAGAGAAGCAGCTAATTATAGTCTGAGGAAACCAGTTGGAATAGTCTTGGTCCTTTGGGAGTGACTGAGAAGCAAGGTAACTGTCAGGATGCATTTGAAGCAGAGCGGTCCCAGCAGACAAAGAGCATGTGTCTGGATGAGAAAAGGAGGTCACATCTAAAAGCAACCAGGCTAGGGAAGAGACAAAGACTGATCCTAATCTCAGAGATATGTTAAACCTGTTTTAAGCCAGCGTGTATGATTAATTTGTTTGGGGTGGGGGTGTTAAGAACAGATTCGCTCACATCTTTTTAAACATTATCTGTCTTCCTAAACTGGGCAGAGAAAAAAAATGCCTTTTGTTTCTGTTTTGAGATTGGTGTTTTCTTTTCCTGTTTGTTGCTGTTGTTGCTTGTTTTTTTCTTTTCTTTCAGGGGGAAACTAACAAATAAAAACAAATACTCTATCAGGCAAATGAGAAATTGATTGAAATCCATTCTGAATGCATCCAACTCTTTGATAACATATTCCAAGGAAAAAAAATTAATGAGTTTTAAAAATGTGGAAGCAAATTTTCATCTAAGGGACAAGGTCTGCAGGAGGGTAGATGAGAAAGAAGTCACTTGGCCTTGACACAGTATTTTTCACATCTGAGAGGAAGTCTCTTGTTTTGGGCTTTGGAGAGTGTTCTCCTGAGGCTACAGGACATCGCAACACAACACAAGGAATCTAACAACCTCATGCTGTCAGTCCACTACCCTTCCACAGTGGCTGATAGGTGTTTTAGCTTACTCCACTCAGCTAGGAGGTTAGAGAACAGTTTCCTGATAGCTAACACAAGTGCAGAGGTACCCATGAGACTTTTCAACCTTTGCTAAGGTTGGTGTTTACTCCACTTGTGTCAGTGTTGTAATTACTCATCAACATGAATAAGGATAATACTGCCCAGCCCAGATGCTTGGTACACAGGGTAATATGAGACTTATGTGGAAAAGCCTGCTGATTTCAGCACCTCTGCAGATCAAATAGGCAAAAGACCAATGACATTAAAATATCAAATCATCTCCTGGGGGTAAAATCTAGTTGTGAAAAGAAGCGTAAAAATGAGAGAGCAGGAGAAAAGAAAAAAAAAAAGAGAACTACCTTAAGCATCACCCAAAATTGCAGATCCCATGTAGGGAATCAAAATTCAGTCTGTGCAGTCTTTTCTCCGTGACATTTGTAGTTCCATTGGGTGGAGGAGCTGGTCCCACATACCACTTCTTGCTGTCCAGCATCCAGATGTCAGTACAGATGTCAGTGGACTAGAATGCTTGGATTGAACACGTGGAAATAGGGCTGCAGGGAGTCTACCTCTGAATCAGAGTCTCTAGTTCTGACCTAGGAAAATCATTAGCCAGGTCTTTGAAGGAAACATATTCTAATGCACGGTAGGAATACGTAATATTTTATGATGCTGATGGATTGATTCACTTTCCAAACAAAAAAAAATCATATTATTGAGGACTGCAGAATTTCAAAATGGGCAAAAAATATTGTGAAATTGACTGTTAAATTCCAAGTGCTGCAAGATGAAGAGTGGCTTAACCATGGAACTGTAGCACATGCATAACGAGCCCTGTATCAGCTCCACCCTTCCAGCCACCTCTTTTGACAAATAGCTTGTCTCCACACAGACTACACTCCCAGGTCCTCTCTTGTCACTGAAAATGCTAGGGCAGGTACCAGGGTAGGAGGCAGTACTTTTTGATCTTGGATCATCTAAGAGAAGGAGAATCACATGAGGGCAAAGTCAGCCTCCCCATGCTATTTTCCCTGTCCTCAAGTGCAAAGGAAGGACGTTTACAATATTACAGTAATAATTTCTTAAGGAGGCTTTTAAAACTCAGCCTGGTTTTTGTTCTATACAAGACTAAAACAAAGCAATATTATATTTGTGAAATAAATGCTACTTTTTCATCAGGAAAACCTTCTGCCACGCTGCAAACACTTCTGGCTTTGCCTGAGCTGGAATGTATATGTTGAGATTTACCAAACCTGGGAGAATTTCTGACTGCAGAAAATCTCTTCTTATGCTTAAATAGCTGGTCAAGACTAAATAACACTTCTTAAGTTTTCTCAAGCTTCAGGAAGTTGCACGCTGCCTCTTTGCATTTTCTTTTATGTCTCATTTTCCGTTTTTTTATGATTTCATAAATAGAGTTGTTTGGGGCTTGTTATGTTACACTGGTTAGAGGCTGGTGAGGAAAGGAATCCTTGAGCTGACTCTGTTCAGTTACTATACTGACACTGCTCGAGTACTCCTAAACCATACCCAGGTGTACACTCTACATCTTGATTTCTAAAGCCTAAACATTATGTGGACCTTTTTGCAGCCAAAAATATCTTGCATGATTTATACTTACACTGGAAAATCTCATTAATTTTATCCCAGAAAATCTTGGTTCACATACAGGGGCTGCACTGCACTGTGTAATTTCACAAAGAGAAAAGCGTTAATTAATGTAAATGACACGTTGGGCACAAGAAGAAAATATTTAAAGAGAATTTCACAAGGTGGAGGATAATGTACTACTTAATTACAACTTGTCATCATTAAAAATGATTGCGGTCTTCCCGACACGCAGGCCTTTACTGACCATGGAGAAGCTTTGGATCAAGCTTTGTATGTTGCTGGGCCAAAGGATTCTCTTCAGTGGTGGGAGCAGGTTTCAGTATAATGAGCAGGTAGCCATTGCCCTTCAAAAGGCAGAGAGAGAGATCTTTTTTACACAATTGAAATTGATTGCCCTTTAAAACAATCAGTTTTGCAGAAGGCTTCAAGAGTTAGACTGGCTGCTGTCTGTGGCCCCTCCTACACGGTTGCTTGGGAGGTATGTAGGGATAAATTCTGTATTTTCTGACTTCTTACAATTCCTGTAACAGTGAATGGCAGCAGTGATTTCTGAAGCTTGAACACAGTTTCCCTTCACTGTCCTTCAAACTTGGACGTCCCTCGTGATAGAGCTGGCATGCTGCATGATGGCAGCTCTGCCCAGACAACAGGAGCTTCTGTCAGCTGCAAAGTCGTGGAAATTCATGAGAATCGAGCCCTCCTTTACAGCAATGAAGCCTACCAGGCACTGGCTGCCACCACAATTAAGGAGTACTATAGCAAAGAGATGTGTCCAAGGAGTGCATTCATGCCTTGGTGCTCTGGAGACTCCTAAATAAATCAAAGTTCAGCAGGAAACAAAGAATCAGCCAGGGAGCAATTCCTCTGCCTGCTTTCTATAGGGATGCCTGTTCTTCTGGAGCTCAGGAGCACTGTTGATGTGCCAGCTGTTCAGCTTGGCTCTGTTCATTTGCTTTTTCAACAACTTAATTTTGAAGGTCCTTAAAATATTACAAGGTAACCTATTCTATAGATTAGCATGGAGAGTTAATGAATACAAAGATACACAGATATGCACACTTACTGTGCAGTCACAAGCTTGTATTCACTTCAGAGATGTTGGAGCATGTTACAATTTCTTAGCATTTTGTTCAAATATTATAGTTTTAATAATTCTTTGATCACCATTCTGTGATCACACAGACAACCAAGTCTATCCTGAATGCTGCTCCTTTGATTTTAATGATGCTGCAACAAAACTAATCTTGATCGTAGGCCTTCAAAACAAAAGCTGAATGTCTCACCTATAGGAATAGCAAAGAAATTAAAATCAACTGGTTGTTCTTACCAGTCACTGCTGCCTTTACAACTTGGTTACATTCCAGTTTGAATTATTTTTCTATTGAAGGTAGCATATGTAATTATCATTTGCTAACAGCACCTATCTAGTCTGAGACATGTAATGGATCTGCATTCTTGAGGCCTGACGAATGGTTCTTTAATTACAGCCACAAGTAAATCCTAGCTGTGTCCTTTGACCTGCTGCCTTTCTGCTTTAGGAATGCCCCACATCTGTGCTTGTTGTCGAGGTCTCTTCCATTCCAGCCAGTGTTGTCCCTGAAGGCTCACACCCAGAAAAACACTTGGTGATTCACCACTGCAGCTTGAAAAGGCTGAATTACCCGCTCAGTGATTCCAGAAGTCATGAGTGTGCTGCTGTTTCATCATGTGCTTTGCTGTGAATTGTAGGCAACTTCCTTTTCTCAGTTGTTTAACTCTGACGGGCCAGCTGTCATTTAATTGATTCTCCATTACTTGTTATTTGCACATCCTCTAGAGATACTTGGCTCTGGGTTCATCACATGTTTTGCTGTGTGGTGTGTGTGTTTTAATGACTTGCTGGCCAAATTTCTCCTTAGAGTGAATCACACTGCTCTGCCAAATCTTTCCTCCAGCACTCTCAGACAATACAAATTATTAACTCTAGTCACTAATGATGACAACGTGATAAAAAAGCCAGGAGGAGCCTCAAAAGCATAGTGAAAGATCCTACCTCTGAGAAATATGCAGGTCTAGTGTCTCTTCAGTTTTTGGTGCTGATCTCCATCTACAGAACGCATCGGCTGTTCCCTGTTCCTTGTAGCCTCTTGCTGAAGATGATGACCCACAGAGACTCCATGAGGATTATCTATGTGAAATATTTTACTGCTCCTAGCACAGCATCAATTCCCTAAATAAACACAAAGGTAGATTTTCAGATGAGCTCAGCCTTTATGTAGACACTAAATGAAAGGTTTCAAAATAATTTTGCATATAGTGCACAGGAAGCTTAGAAAAACCACTGCTTGACAGCTGCTGTCAAGTACTTTGGAGGAAGCAGGAGTTATCATTGTACAAAACAGAAAACCATATAATTTATATTTTAATTAGATTTACATCTGGAAGAATAGTTTAACAGTTTCTTAGGAAAGAGTCAACATTTTTCTTCTGAAAAGCAGCTAGCAAGGTCACACAACTCTACAGTCTCCAACAAATGTCGAATGTCACCCTGATGACTTCCATACCTTTAATCAACCCTCACCGCTGTATCTGCATGCATCTGTTTCAAACTTTTTTTTTGCATAATTACAAACTAATTTTGAAAGAGATCTTCAATGAGTTTCACAACTACTACAACCTCTGCACATGTTAGTATCATAGAAACACTCTGACTAGCAAATTACATAATTAGATCCGAAGAGGAGCAACATTCAGGATGTCTGATAAGGTATTTCTTGTTCATGGGTCAGTACAGGAAATTCAGTGTCAGACACATCCAGGGAAGATGGATGGTATCCTGTGATTTAGAGACTGCTATTCTATATAAAACAGTGCATTTCCCTTTCCTACCCTTCTCCACTTGTCAGAATTATATTTCTTGCCTAGGAAAAAAGGGGAGATGGAATTATTTTTTGAACAATATCATGTTAAGCTTAATTTCATTGCCTTGGGGTAAATATACCAGTGGGATCAGGACCTAACTGTTATCACTGCTAGAGAGATGGTTAACCATACTATGGAGACAGTAAGTACAGATGGATATGGTCTGAGGCAACTTCTTTATTTTATACAGTTTATTTTACTATCCTCTGAAAAGCCAAGGATATACATTCCTTTGTACTTTGCGTGATGGGCTGCCTCACTGCTTCCTCCTAAATTATTGGGCAGAAGTGAGGGCTGTTGAACTGAAGTAGTTCCTATTCTTTCATTAGGAGAGTTGCGAAATCATCTTGGATCCAGCAGCAAATTCCCTTTGCAGCCCCACTAATGCTTTTAATGTAAATTATTAAAACCCAGACATGGGCATTAATATATAACATTTTATACAGCTTTGATTTGCTGAACTCTTCCGCTCTGTATCCTGAGCTGCTCACAGAGATTGAATTTCCTGAAAGTCAGCTCCTAAATCAGAACTTTTATCTTGCCACAATATATCACTGCTAGAAAGAGCATTGGCCTCTTTCACGATTCAGAGAATCCTATGTCAGGCCACCTGCCTGAACCTCAAATCAAAGCAAATCAAAGTAGTGTAAGCTGCTTGGTTTTCTGAAGATGTGCCACCAAGATTGCCCCTTGTGTTATTTGTGAAAGAAACATTACATTTTTTTCTAAAATAATTCTTGCTAGGCTGGTGTCACTCATTCTATCCAATAGCTTGGCTAGAATTCATCCATTTATCTTTAGAAGCAGATTATAATAAATTATTGATACGTTAAGAAATTGCAGCATACACCTTAAGAGCCAGGTTTCCTTTTCAGAAGAATCTAGTATGCATTTTGATTAGCAGTGTAAGACTGAGTAGCACACACAGACTGGTAGATGGCACACAGATACTTAAGATACCAAAATAAGGCTATCTTAAGCCCAGGGAAGAACTGTACTGTTTCCTGAACTAAGCACAGGAAATGTCTCAGCTCTTTTCAGAATTGCATGTCCAAGCTAACATGAATTTATTTGAATTAAGGTATACCAGTGAGCATATTTTTGGGGGGTGAAATGACCTTCTCTTGACTTTTTATCTTCTAGCTGTATTTTCAGACTTCCTCAGTTTGTACTCTGCACATACAAAGTCTTGGAGTATTATTTTCCTGTGATTAAGTAGAGTGCAGCTTACAGTCCAAGCACTACAGATAGACCTATAAAAAGTCTGAAAAAAATCAGCAGTACAGAAGTCCAGCTGGAAAGGGGAGACAGAGTTGCAGGGAAAACAGCTGTGCTTGATCTTGAGATGGACGGTCAGGAGGGATAGGAATTTCCAGCTTGGATTAAAGGACACAAAAGTAATTTTGGATAGAAGCTTCATCACATGTTATCTGAGCACTGTAGTCCATTTATGTAGATGCTGACAACATCAGTATGCCAGATAATAGATTCCGATAAAGCCATATGGAAGACAGAACCAGTTTCCGGATTTTTGTTTTTTGTGTGTGTGTGGTGTGCTCTTAACATGTTTAATGTTCTATTTGGCTTAGATTTTCAGCTATTGACGTTTTAAATCAGATTTATGAGCTGGATCTGACTTATTTAAGACCGGTCTTTTCCATTTGCTTCACATTACTCACTTCAGGGAAAGAGCAGCTATATGGGGCTTCAGACCATTTGTTTCGGGGTCATCCTTTACTGACATTAGGTCTATTTAGACAGAGGCTTTTTGACACAAATATTGCGTAAAGCACAAATATAGCACAGCACCCTTCGTGACTGTGCGCTCAGGGACGGGACTGGATGCTGCTACTTAACAAAACCAGGAAACAGGCAAAAGCATCTTGGGAAAAAAAATAAAAAGGCAGAGGATAAAGAAATAGCATCTGAAGGAGGATAAAGAAATAGCCTTGTATGGGCAGGGCCAAGAATGCAAACAACCCAACAACTCCTCATCTGTTCGGTTAATACTGCAACACGTTTTCTTCTTACGAGTCTCTCAGACCTCAAATCCCTCAAAGAGCCCAGAGAAGTGGCACAGCTCACTCCCCACAGCTTCTGCAGATGCAAACAAGCCCTCTCTCTTTCTCCCCTGGCACGAGCCCTCCAGTGGTCCCTACAAAGTCACCACAGCACTGTGAGCCCTGGACAGGCTTCCTCCGTCTGCTGCGCCAGCCGTGGGACTGCCCTGCTCCACACAGCTGCAGAGCAGGAGAGAAGCCGGCTCTGTAATTAACCGCAGGAACATCCATGTAACTTGTTCTCAGTGGATCAATCACAGACAGATGAGGTTGTGTTCACTCGCACACAAGCAGCATTTATTCAGCCCTCGGCACACAGTACCTCTTACAGGCACCCGTCTCACAGCTTCCTTCAAGCAGGAGGGAAAACAGCCACAGAAGCCAACGCCTTCTGGGTTTCACTTTGACTCATGATTTGGCCTTACTTATTCACATCACCTTCTCCGCTTTTAGTTCCCTCATGAAGAAAAGCACACAAAGCTGGATTTGACTCGGCAAGAGAGCTCTCCCAAAGGAAATAAACTGGAGACTGCTGTGCATAGCAGCAGCAACTCTCCCTATAGGACAGCATCCACAGCAGAGGTGGCGCAAAGTCCAGAGCCAGGCTGTGACCCGCAGTAAACCGTTACTAATATAGAACCTCTGGAAATGATTTTCCTGGTATCAATAGCACAACTCCCCAGAGCTGCCACTAAGTAGAAGTGAAGCTGTGGTGCGATCCTGCCAGCTCAGAAGGGCAGCCGGTTGTCTGCTATGGGAGGAGAGGGTGGCAGAAAGGGCAGCAGGAAGGACAGGCCCACCTCTGCCCTGCCTGAGAACCACCTGAAGAAAGGGAAGTTCTCTGCCTCAGAAAATACCCCAAAAAGGGGCCGTGTGGATATCCATGGTCACACCAACAAACCTACAGCATGAGAGACAGAGAAGTTCTATCCAAGTACCCAAACCAAAGCAGAGTGAAGATGTGGATCAGTGTGTGGTGAAGAATTCTTCCCTGCAAAGTCTCAGAATAAAAGTTAGAGTCTATAATCTTCAGCAAGGAGCTTTTGAAGAGAACTAAACCAGTTTAATAGGTAGTTTTGAGGAGGCAATACTCCACACGTATATAACGTATGCATATAGAAGTACAACAGCACAGTATTACCATTGTAACAACTATAAACAAACAGTTGTTTTCCTTTCTAGTTTCTAGATTTTTAAATTCAGATACGATGACATTTCCCCCTCAGCCACAAAAAACAAGGCTAGAGGTTGTCATTTATCATTTGGCAGCAGGAGCTGAAGCTTAGCAGGGCAACTCAATAGCTTTTGACAAAAGCATGAAAGCTGGCAGCATAAGAACCTGCCAACACGGGCCCTTGCCAATATTAACAGATAGAGAGATGGGAAAATATTTCAAAGCACCAGTGAAGGAACCTAAATGCTCTTTAACTAAGGAGTGCTCTTCTACATCTATTTAGCCTTACTGAAGATAAGACAGGGAACCAAGCAGTTCTGGCCAGCACAGCCGTTCTGTGCAGAGCTTGAATGCCGGCTGAGTGTAATTGCTACCATTCTCAGAGGGACACAGTAAGGGACAAGTGCCCAGCAAGGGTAGAAATCAGGAGGAAGTCTGACACGTGTGACCTACGCATCCCATCCTTTCAGGGCATCATTTATAGGCAGGTCTAATTACATGCTTTCACCCACAAGACAGAGAGCTGTGCAGGGGACTTGCTTTGGGGAGGCAAGTGCAGTGGGGTTGGGCGAGGAACACAATATCTAACTCTGTTTTTCATCTCTAGGAGAGGTCAGAAGAAATGCCAGCCCAATAAGTAGCACATCAGCTTTAAAAGGCCTACCTCAACTCCCTGCTCCAACGCTGCCCTAAGTCAAATGCTTCACAGGAACTCAGCAGTTGAATTTCAGCAAGTGCCTCCAACAGAGTAACATCCTCACTGCAACATCTAAATATTCCAAAGCAACTGCAGCCCTGGGAATCAAAACGGGGAGGCAGCTCTTATAGAGTAGCAGAGAGTCCTTTATGAGGTCTGAGGAGCTTTTCTCCTGCTTAGGGATGTGGCA